GGCTCAGTTAACAAATATCAGCCAACAACATATTCATTGTTGAACATGAGAAATCATTTCTTTTTAATATGTATAAGCTTCCTTACTTTTCCGTTTAGTTGCATCTGATCACGTTTACGAATCGAAAGCACTCGATGCAAAGATCAGTGGTGTTATAAAGAGCACGGATGGAAGCGGATTCATTGTGAAAGTGAAGTAAGTGCAGTTGTCTGGCGCTGTTTGTCGACGGGGGGATATTTGTACTACCATTGCTTCCCTAGTTCCGGTTTACAAATCTCACCCTGGTAAAACTTGTGAACCCTTGTGAAGCTGGTGCAAGATCGTCTAGCCATCCTAAAACGTGTCAACTCGAGAAAAGGCTACCTAGATGGGTCGGCACATCTATGGAAAGCAGAATGCCCCCCCCCCGTCGACAAACTGCGCCCAGTTGTCTTGTTCTTTCCATTCTGTCACTAGTGGGTTGTGGCGGTTCTCTAGATGAGCAAGGGCTAAAGGAATCGCTATCTCAAGCGTGGTTCGCTAGTTGCATCCTGCGTTGTGTCCAGCCCTGATGGATTACCAGTCGGCTCGCCGGCTAACGCCGGCGCGCCTCCTTCTGATACGGCCCGGCTGCGCCGGGCGGGCGCGGCTTCGCCGCGCGTATTTTCTTTCACATATTTCTAGACTCAACTGATATCCGCCTTTTGTTCTGTACTCCACTTTTTTCCGGTGTCTGAAGTACTCTTGAGCTATTTTACAGATTCTTCGTCTGACTCCGCCCACCTCGGAGCAGGCCCGCCCACAATGTTTGTGCCCCAATCCTCACCGGCGACCCTCTGCTGACCTTAATCCACGTTTTTTCCGGTCTTTGAAGTGCTCTGGGACAGTTTTAGAGAATTTTCGTCTGGCTTCGCCCACCTTCGAGCTGCCCGCCCAATATGTAGACCCCACATTTCCCAATCGGCGACCCCTTCCTGACCTGAATTGACTTCCGTTTTACAGACCTTTTTAACTGGCTCCGCCCACCTCGCGAGCAGGGTCCGTCCTACAACTCTTTGTTGCCCCACAACTCCTCACCGGCACTCTGGCTGACATTAGTGAACTTCTTTATCCTGTGTCTTGGAGTGTTCTGGAGACCGAGCTACAAAAACTTTTAAAATATATACCTTTAGCGGCAAGCTCCGCGCCCACTGCTGGCGGCGTGCTCAAGCACACTTGAGCGTGCCCTATATTCGCCAGATATTTACATTCTACACTGAGTTTTTTGCGACTTCCAAACACTCTCGGGAACCGGGTTACTGAATTTTGCGAGAAGCACTGCCCACCTTCAGTACGCCCCACCCCTTTTGGATGTGTCTGCCACAGTTAGTCTGGCGACTCCTTACTAACCTTATTCCCATCTTTAAGCTGCTCCGGAAGCGAATTATGAACATTTTTCTGCGGAACCCCAAACTTTCGGCGAGTGCCCCGCCCACTGTGGGCGGGGCTTCCCATAGGTCAAGTGTGCTTTTTATTTCTTGTCCCATGCCCTACCCATCCCCACCTTGACCCGACCTCTCCAAGTCGTTCTTCAGGTCGAACCGAATTTCCGGACAGACAAACTTACAAACAAACAAACAAACAAAGCGAATTATATATATGGGGTGATGTTTTACGTCCTTTCGGGTCATGTTATTGATACTGGATGTTTCTGGAAAGGTAAAGGTGATGGCTCGAACATCAGAAGCTTGCAAAAGTCGTTGTACAAGACTATCATCCACTGCGCTTCTGAGTTAAAGAAGAATGCGTGGCGTATCGAGAAAAGAGCTAGCCCATGCCGAGTTCAGTTTTTTTGCAGTAATTTGATTTATCATGGGATAGCTGTCGCTTTGGAATGGAGACTTACTCAGACACCTAATTTTTGTTCTATCTCAGGTCTGGAGCTGGTGAGCGTGATGTATCTGTTGCCTCAAATGGTGCCTTTTCGTTCCATGAGCCGTTGACCTCAAGTGGAGACGTAATTATCACACCTCACTCTGGCACCCATCTGTTTGACCCTTCAAGTTTCTCGCTGAGATTCAGGTTTGTGTTATATGCCTTCGAATGTGGCATACCTTTGACCCTCACTGTGCTCGGAATTACACTTCCTGGTCTTACTTTGGTATTTTGAAGGGGAGATTGTGCCGAAAATGTGGTGCAGTTCGTTGCTACTAAAGGAATATTTATCGATGGATCGATTATTCCGGCTGTGGCTGGTGTGAAGGTTAGTTT